CCCTTCGCCGAGCACCGCCCTATGGAAGCAGCGCGCCCGCGCCGCCCACAACCGCTTCCGGGGCGCCGCGGCGGCAGGTTCGCCCTAGCAACCGCGTTGCGTTGCTAGGCGGAAGTAGCGCGGCGGCTGCGGGGAGCGGAGCGGGGCCGCTGCTGGCGCTCGGCCTCCCGCGCAAAGGCGCCGCATCCTGGGAGGCCAAAAACGGGCTGTGAAAGGGGATTAAACACCCACAGGGGGGCGATAAACCACAAACATCAACCCCAGAGATGGAGGAAGCGCGGCTCCCGCTCGCCTCTGCCCGCAGCACCCGCGGGAGGTGTCTGTAAAGGGGCGTGTTGGGTGGGAAAACAAGAGCGATATTCCCTGGTCACAAACACCTGAGGTGTCCCCCCCTCGAGAACTGGAAACGTGTCTCACGTTGTCCCGACCACAAACGATTCACGGGTTACTTCTGGAAAGCCACCGGGACCTCTTGCTTGGATCCACAGTGTACATGTTCAAATGATCGCTTTTCCCCAGTATCCCAAATTCCCGAGGCAGGCTTGTAAAATTTCCCCTGGTGCCGTAATTGAGTGGGGGGAAAAAAGCTCAGTTTTAGTAAATCTTCCCCGTATTTTTTTTTGTGTACTCTCCTTTTGCCACACCTGGGCAATCTGCCGGCTCAGGTACCACATTGCACCTTTGAACTCACTATTAATATCTAAAGTAGACTGTCTTAATTCAGCCACCTCAAAGCCCACCCTGATGGTGGAGTCCCTGTCCCTGCAAGTGCTCACACACTGCGGAGATGAGGCCTCAATGCCATGGGTTAGGGGTGGTCTTGGCAGTGCTGGGGAACAGGTGGACTGGATGAGCTTAAAGGTTTTTTCCAAACTGGTTGATGCTGTGATCCCAAGCTCTCCTCTGGGATGAGCTTGTTTTGCCCTTCTTGTTTCTTTGGGATCTTAGTCATGGAAAGAGGAAGAACACTATTAGCATGACCTCACCATGGATGAAAAGGAAGAGGGAAGAAGTGCTTTTGCAATGCTCAGACTCAGAGCCCCAATTTTTTAAGTGCCATAAGGAGAAAATGGTACAAATTCATGGAAGCAGCTTGTGGTGTTACTCTGAAGCAGGATGCAGAGGGCTCAGGGCAGCCATGTCCCTCTTTGTGGTTTGAAATACGCTGTCCTTCAGTAGAAACCCCACTGCCACCTGAATTTTCCCAGTTTCTGCTCTGAACCGTCTGGGAGCTCCCGAGAAATCTTAATCCTGAAATACTGTTTATCATCAAACATTTCTTCCCTGTGAGGGTGCTGGGGCGCTGGCACAGGGTGCCCAGAGAAGCTGTGGCTGCCCCAGCCCTGGCAGTGTTCAAGGCCAGGTTGGACACAGGGGCTTGGAGCAAGCTGCTCCAGTGGAAGGTGTCCCTGCCTGTGGCAGGGGTTGGGACTGGATGAGCTTTAAGGTCTTTTCTAACACAAACCAGGCTGGGATTCTGTGGTTCTATGAATTTCAGTCCAAGCCATTCTTTAGGTCAGTCATATTAAACATGCAGATTCTCGTTAGCCCTGTGATAATCCCTTGGGAGTCTACCACAAGACAGGCCCCCATGTTGAAAGACGTACGGAGCAAAAGGAGCACGCAGATGACCTAAAAACCTTTCAGTTAGGTTGGGCCGGTCCCACGGGAGGTTTTCCCAGCCGATGCTCACCTCCTCATCCTCAAGTAAGCCAGGTGGGAGCTGGACCGATTCCTGAGTTATGAACAGAGGGGAAATGTCCTGCTATCATTCCTGAAAGCCCTGCGGCGTCTCCTGTTGGGATGAACCGGCTCGATGCCGCAGGGTGCCGGGCTGGAGCTGTGGGAAGGACAATACTGCTTTGTCCGGGACATCGGGAAGGACAATGAGGCTCCTGTTCAGGATCAGGCACAGGGCGGCACAACCCCGACACAAGCAGCATGGGCAGGAGGGATCCTGCAGGACACAAGCGCAAAGAGGCCTCGTGTCCTCTGGGGTGATGCTGTGAGTATGCAAAGAGATAAAAAACACCACAAAGTCACAGAGAAAAACATAATTAAAATTTTTTGGTAGGAGAGTGAAAGCAGAGGAGCAACCACATAGAATGAGAAGGTATCAGGATCTTGATGGAAATACCTCCTGTTAATCATTCACCCCAGAGCATGAATATACATGGACAGACTTGGCATTCATCAAAATTAACAGTGTTCCTGTGCAAGAGGGCATCCTGTGCACCGCTCTTAACATCAGCACACAGTACCTGAACTTAAAATTGCATCATCCAAAGCAGAGAGACTTCATTTCAAGGAGTGGGAACTGAAAGAGCCAGTGATGGTAACTGGACACAGCACATGCAGTGAGGAGGTCCCCGAGGTCTCGCGCTGGATTTCCCTCTGTGGGCTGAGAGGGCAGCAGCCCGGCAGCTCCCAGCCCTTTCCCACCGCTCCGTCTTGCATCCCCACACAGGGATATCTGCCCCCTGCACGGCCCTGGGGCGCGAGCAGGAGGAGATCCTTCCACCCAGCCCAGAGAGATCCCCCAGGAATGTGCAGTCTGCCTGGCTTCAGGCACAAGGGGAGAAGGGCTCTGCTGGGAAAAGCTTGAACATGCTCTGGAGCAGCAGCAGCTTGTGATTACTCCATATTACTGGAAGAGGGAAAAGCTTCAGATGCTGCGGGTGGGAAAAGATCTATCCCATCACTTCCTCTTGCTCAAAGATAATTCTGCCCCCTAAGACTCAAAATTCAACATAGTCTCCTCCTCTGCTCCACTCTCCTGAGGCTCCACCTGGAGCAGTGTGCCCTGCCCTGGGTGTCACAGCACAAGAAGGACATGGAGCTGTTGGAGCAAGTCCAGAGGAGGCCATGGAGATGCTGCAAGGGCTGGAGCAGCTCTGCTCTGGAGCCAGGCTGAGAGAGCTGGGCTGGGGCAGCCTGGACAAGAGAAGGCTCCTGAAGGGGAGACCTGAGAGCAGCTCCAGTGCCTGAAGGGGCTGCAGGAAACCTGGGGAGGGGCTTGGGACAAGGGCTTGTAGGGACAGGCCAAGGGGAATGGCTTGAACCTGCCAGAGGGGAGACTGAGATGAGCTCTTAGGCAGAAGCTCTTCCCTGTGAGGGTGCTGAGGCGCTGGCACAGGGTGCCCAGAGAAGCTGTGGCTGCCCCATCCCTGGCAGTGTTCAAGGGCAGGTTGGACACAGGGGCTTGGAGCAAGCTGCTCTAGTGGAAGGGGTCCCTGCCCGTGGCAGCAGTTGGAACTGGATGAGCTTTAAATTCCCTTCAACCCAAAACGGTCTGGGATTCTATGAATTATTATTATTAGTATTATACCCTTAGGATTTCTTATTTTCTAAACACATGATCTCCCCTCCTAAACACCCTGTTTGTGCTCACTCTGCAGTTGCTTTTGGAGCACCCAAGAATGCCTGTGGAAACACAAATCCAGTTGTGCCAGCAGTTAAGACCCCGCATTCCCCCCCCCCCCCCCCATGTCCCCCTTGCGAGCTTTGCCCTCAAGCCATCCCTCCCCCTTTTCACCCTTCCTAGCCCAACATTTCTGCCTGTCTGACAGCAGCTCAGTCCAAGCGGCAGCACTGAGGGACAAGAGGCGTTTTGGCCATTCCATGGGGAACCAGCTCTTTTCCCAGCAGAGAAGCCTTGCTTCTGCTGGCCTGGGTTGGCTTGAAGGAGCTGGGACCAGCAATGAATGACACCGTGTCGGTTTATCCAGCATCCCCCAGAAAAGGTACAGGTGCCCCCAGCCCGGGTCAGAAGCTGCTCCTGGACCTTTCATGCATTGTGAGGAGCAGGTTCCCCTCACTGCCCCTCTGGCACTGCCTTTGAGCAAGCCACAGCAATTCAGCTGGTGACACAGCAGCTGATGGTGCTGATGCTGTTTTCCTGGGGACACCTGGTGAGGTAACACTGAGCCTCAGGACATGGCAACAGTTTCAGCCCCTCATCCATGTGCTTCTATATTCCCACCTTACCTAAAAAATAGACTTGAAGGCAGATTGTTGCTCTGGCTCTGGCACAGCCAGCGTTTGGTTGCTGGAGGTGCTGCTGACATCTATTGTCAGCTCTGGGTACTTAGTTCTTTAACAAACAAACATAGAAAAAGTCATTTGAATTTCAGAGCTTAGACTACCAACAGTCAGAGGAAATACAGAGGCCAAGAGATTAATGAATTGGTCAATGCTGGGTCTTACGTTTGCGAGCAGATCTCTGCTTGTCCTGTTCTCTATGTTCTAAATTAAATTGCAGATGCACACCACAGAGGCAATCACACGCTCCAGCTGGGTTTGCAAAAAAACATAAAAATCAAAATCCCCCTTGGCCTGTCCCTACAGGCCCTTGCCCAAAGCCCCTCTCCAGGTTTCTTGTAGCCCAGCCCAGCTCCCTCAGCCTGTCTCCAGCCTCTGCAGCATCCTTGGTGATCCAAGACCCAGGAAGCTGTGTGAGGACAGTCCATCACTTGTGCTTGTTCAGCCTGAAGAAAAGGCAGCTCAGAGAAGACCTTATCACCACGTTCCAGTATTTAAAGGGTGGCTACAAAGAAGACGGAGACTCCCTTTTTACAAGGAATCCCATGGAAAAGACAAGGGGTGATGGGCACAAGTTCCTGCTGGGGAGATTCCAACTGGACACAAGAGGGTTCCCATTTTTCACAGTGAGAACAACCAGCCACTGGAATAATCTCCCCAGGGAAGTGTCCCAGCATTGGACACTTTTAAGACTGGGCTGGACAGGGTGCTGGGACATCCAGTCTAGGTCATTCTTTGCCCTAGAAAGGTTGGCCCAGATGATCCTTGAGGTCCTTTCAACCTGGGATTCATGGTTCTATGATGATTGAACACAGTTTGATTTAATTAACCTTCATCTCTAAACCCCAGCAAGTGAGAGCTGTCCAGCTCATTGTCGTCTTTTCAAATCCAGCTTTCCCATCGTTGGTCAAAGAGGTTGTCATGAAGATTTTTACTTCACTAAAGACAGGAAACACATGTATTTTTAGACTGCTTCAGTGTATTAGAAAACCAAGGATCTGCTTCCTAAAACCAGAACTGGCACAAACATGCAAGTCTCTGACAAGCACGAGGCAATCAAGACATAAAAGCTACACTATGTGCAGGAATCTCTAAGGAACTCAAGGAAACCAAGATAAAAACTAAACCAGCAACTTATACTGAATGCTGAGTTTCAAAAAGTATATATTAATTTCACTGCAATGTTCTTGCAGTCTCTCATACTTCTACCTTTAGTTCTGTACAACAGCTGAATGTAAGCCATAAACTGTACAAAACCGAGCTTGAGCACAGGAGATGCAGTTTATCATTAAGGTCGGGGTCACATCACATCTGTTGTTCTTCAGAGGATTCACCATCTTCTGCAGGATCTGGTGGCAGGGGTTGGGCTCTGTAAAAAGCATCATCAATTCAAAAGGATTAGCAGAACTCGATCAGCTCTTGTTTGAAAGGCTCCTTTTCTAGGCGGCTAACTGACTTTAACTAGCTCCAGACTGCACACCAAGACTCTAAGACTGACACAAGCTGCTTTATCCTAATCTCTGGAAGCCCAGATGAAGCAGCACACACTGACCTTTCAACTGGGAGAGCCTAATTCAGTGCAGAAAACACTGTACACTGATTCAGCTCGGACATTCTTGAAGCATCCTTCTTGACCCAGAAGGCTGCATGCAGGTCCCACACCGCTTCCAGGAACCTGCAAACTTAATTCTCATTTCACACCCAAGTTTCAACCCATGTGACTGAAACAACCCCCCCAGTTGTGCAGTGAAACGAGTCCAGCTCTTGCTTCCTCCAGAACACCCAGGGAAGCTCTCAGTTGTTTTAGACAGTGACAGTGTGCATTCTCGACAGGGTTATCACCACGCAGCCCTCACTCAGCCAAACAAAAAAACAGCAGAGATGAAAGGTGTGCAGCACTACAGTGCACATCTTTGTTTCTCTGAGGTGGGGTGTGCTTAGAAGTCTTGGTTTGCTTTCCTTCAAGACAATTCAGGAATAACTCTCACGGGGGAGCCTCAGGTGGCTTAATATTATCTGTATTTGAGAGAAAAACCCTTGACAATTGAGAATAGAGTGTTTGTAAGACACAGCTACCTTTTGAGTCAGTAGTGCAGCCCACAAGTTAATCTCAGAAGCATCAGTTCACTGGAGCAATTCAATTTCTGACATAGAGAAGGCACCTCCAGTCTCCTAAGCCTTTCTGAAACAGAGATGACAGCCATAGAATATCACATCGCTCTGGTCTGTGTGCAGTGTCTGAGCACAGAGAATTTCTCTGAACTACAAATTACTGTACCCATTCCTGGCAAAGCCCCACGAGGTCAGTGGAGACAGGTGCTGCTTTTCACCAGACTTTACTAGAAACAGGATTTCAAGGAGCATACAAAGGTCAAGAGACACACGGACAACTTTCAGCTCCTTCAAAAATCAATTGCAGTTTCAAAGCAGTCACAGAGGAAGACTCATCACATCTGTTTCATCCAAGGATGAGCTGACAGCCTCAATACAGCCCTTGCAGGCAGACAGGCACATTGTCTTCTCCCTTATTTGAAAGCACCAGGGATTTGGCTGTTTAATGCCACCCCACAGACCACACTGACAGCGCCAGGGCACCCTTTGAAGCAATAACACAGAGCATCAGCTGCGTCTGTGCTGCTGCTGCCCTGCAGGTGGGCTTAGCTCTGTCATGCTTCAGACAGCTTTTTAAATTGCTTTGTTTAAAGGAAGTGAATATGAATCTCAAGCAATGTGTCCCAAGAGCCCAGCTGCAGCCAATCACCAGAACTCGAGTGTACAAACCCCATTTGTATTGCGTTTTGCCTCTGGCACACCGAGCACCCCTTCCCTGCCCCTCAGCCCTGTGGTGCAGCACTTGTGCACCTCTGCCAGCCCCAGCAGAGCTCCAGGTGAGCTGCAGATCTGGCAGGAGTGCAGTGGTTTTGGCTGGCTCCAGGCAACTTTAGAGGAGAAACTGGTTGAGGACCACAGCTAGCTTGGGAAAAGGAAGGCAAAGGGAAGAGCATCCCAATTTCAGGATATGGAGATCTGTGGTGCTGTTTCCAAGCTGGAGAGAGAAATAGACTCCTCAATGCCCCAGCGGTTTTCAGGAGGCTGCGGACAGAGGGACAAGAGCTGACACCTACATTCTAGCAGTCAGCCCCTGGCTGTTGCTCCCTGCCACCTCTCCGTTGGGTGCCCGGTTCTCCTTCTGCAGCTGTTGCAGGAACTCGCCAATGCCTCTCTGCCAAGGGGGGACAGGCCTCACGCACACCGGGTTCCCCACCACACAGCGGCCTTTGCCTGCGGGGAGAGCGGCCGTCAGCTCCAGCACAGGCCGCGTGGGAGGGATGGAGGGGAGCACGCCGCTCTCACCTCTCTTAGTCAGCGACGGTCCGCGCTGAGGCTGCTGGATCCCAGCACCTTCCGGGGGGGCCGGGCTGCCAGCACTGCGGGGAGAGCGGAGGGGTGAGCGGCACCTGCGCAGCTCAGTGCAGCTCGGTGCAGGGCAGCTCGGTGCAGTGCAGCTCGGTGCAGGGCAGCTCGGTGCAGGGCAGCTCGGTGCAGGGCAGCTCGGTGCAGGGCAGCTCGGTGCAGGGCAGCCCGCCCGCCCGGCTCCCGCGCCCGGCTCCCGCGCCCTTGCGGTACCCGCCGCCGCGCTCCGCCCTCGTCCTCCCCATCCCGCCTGCCGGCCCGCGCGGGAAATACCGCCACCTCCGGGCAAACTCTATTGGCCAAGCGCCAGCCAATGAGAACGCGTCGGGTCGGCGGGGCCCCGCCCCTCCTCAGCACCGCCCCCTCAGCGCTCGTCCCCTCAGCTCGGGCCCCGCCATCGCGGGTCCCTCAGGGGAGTCTGTGCAGCGTGTCTGAGAGTCATGGAGCGGTGGAATCAGCCAGGTTGGAAAAGCCCTTTAAACTCATCCAGTCCACCCGTTCCCAGCACTGCCAAGGCCACCACTGCCCCATGGCACTGAGGCCTCATCTCCACGCTGTGTGAACACTTGCAGGGACGGTGACTGCAGCCCTGCCCTGGGCAGCCTGTTCCAATGCCTGAGCACCCTCTGGGGAAGGAATTGTTCCTCAGCTCCATCTAAACCTGCCCTGGTGCAGCTTGAGGCCGTTTCCTCTTGTCTGTCAATCGTCACCGCAGTCCCTCCCAGGCAGGGCACGTCCGTCCCTCCTGAAGGCTGCAGGGCCATGGCCCCTGCCCGATCTCAGCTCCCCTGACCGGCCAGCCCTTCACTGCCCTGGGCAGCGGGTAGCACACGGGGGAGCAGGCACACTGCTCTCGGCCATGACAAACTGCAATGGGTGCGGTGAGCTGTGCTACTGAAAACACTGAGCCTTTTGAGAGAGGGACATTGCTCCCTTCGCAGGTGCTTGCAGGGATGAAGCCTTGGCTCCCAACAGTCTGCTGCCTGCCTAAAGCATGTTAAGAACACGTCAGTGCGGCCGGGACCCCAGAAAGCCCTGCGGCGTTCGGGGCCATTTATTTCTGCACCCATGTGAGTTGTGGTGGGTTCAGGGTGAACTGACAGGGAACAGGGTGGAAGAAAACTGCTCTGTGAAAAAGGACACTTCTTCGTGGGCTTTTGTTCCCAGCAAGATCTGTTCCCAGGTGAAACGCACCACGGGACTGGTGGCACGTCAATGAACAGGCAGGGCCAGAGGGGAATCCAGGCCCTCAGTGAGCAAGTTGCTGTTTCTGGAGGGACACCGGACATAGAGCCCATACATGGGGATGGAACCATTTGGTAGCTCCAGGCTGGACCTGAAGCTCCCTCTGACATGCAAGTAAAGTTTTGCCGTGAAGACTTAGCTAAGCAGTGTGCGTGTGGAAAGCCAGGCACCCCAGTTCCCAAGTTACGGCATATTAAACCTTGGCCTCGCTGTGTCAGCTGTGCCATGCCAATGTGATGTGAGCTGCAGGGCTCACGAGCTTTAGCCTGGCAGCTGCTGGGGCCGGTGTCTTTCGCCTTGACCAGGTGATGGACCTCACACTCCCATTCCCAGCCAGGGCTCTGTGTTTCCTCAGAAACCACACCATTTCCCCCTCGCAGGTCCGATGTCTCAGTGGCTGTTGGTCCCAAATACATTCCCTCCCTTTGCAACAGTTATCGCTCCCTTTTCCTTTCAGTGTTCGCTTTCATGCGTGCTTGCTTAACCAGGCTTTAGTGCCGGCCTATGTGCGGGGCTCGGAGTGCGCCTCGGGGTACTCCCAGCGCCTCCAGCCCCGGGAGAGCAGCGGGGCCCGGAACGGTGGCGGCAGGGCCGCGTTCCCGGGGGGGAGGTGGCGCTGTGGCGGCTGTGCGGCACCGATTCCAGTCCCTCGCGGAGAAGATGGCGGCGCCCAGCGCGCTGCTGGCCTGGTGCGTGCAGCAGCTCCGCGGGGACTTCGGGCTGGACGTGGGCGAGGAGGTGGTGAGGTGAGCGGGGCACGCTGCGGCCAGCGCCGGGGGAAGGCGGTGTGGGCAGAGCGGCCCTCTCCGAGCTCCCCGGCCGGAGGGAGGGCGCGCCGCTGTCTCGTGTGTGTCCGCAGGAGCGCGTTGTGCGACTCCGTGTTTTGCATGGCTTGGTGGGAGCTGGAGCATCGGGGTGGGTGTGTCTGTGCTGGAACGGGAAGGAAGAGCATAGGAATACAGAGTGCTTCGTGCTGGAATGGACCCTCCAGCTCATCCAGTTCCAACTGCTGCCACGGGCAGGGACACCTTCCACTAGAGCAGCTTGCTCCAAGCCCCTGTGTCCAACCTGGTCTTGAACACTGCCAGGGATGGGGCAGCCACAGCTTCTCTGGGCACCCTGTGCCAGCGCCTCAGCACCCTCCCAGGGAAGAGCTTCTGCCTAAGAGCTCAGCTCAGTCTCCCCTCTGGCAGGTTAAAGCCATTCCTGTCAGATTAAAGCCATTACAGTAATATAACTCATAATTTTTTTTTTCAGGGAAATAGCCACAAGAGATTTCCCTCAAAATTTGACTTATAAACCCATTTCATACCATGGTCTCTACAGAAAAGAGAGACATAAGTTGCATATGTGTGCAATTAGTCTGTTGCTTTCCTCATATCAGAAGGCCCTTTACCCATTTTTCTCCATCCTCACCCCTCACAGGTATATCTTGTCAATAACAAACGAGGACGAGATCCGGGAGTACATTGTTGACCTCATCCAGGGGACTGATGGGAAGAAGAGTCAGTTTGTGGAAGAGCTGCTAGCCCAGTGGAGGAAATGCTCCCAGCTGCCACTTGAGCCTGCGCCAGCATATCGGAAAAGGGATGGTGAGTGCTATGGGGAGGAAGGAATTGAAGTCTCAAATAAGCTTTACTCAGTTATTCAATTTATAAACAATTAGTTGTCAGAAATGCTCGTGCCTGCTCCTATTTCTGTCTGTTGTGACGGTGTAAAGCCATTTCATTCACTGAGTAAGAATGGATATCTTTCTCTTGCTGTTACTCACTCTTTCTTGTGCTTACACATGCTTCCAGAGACTTTGGAAATGCCGCGGGCTGGAGACCAAGTGAAAAAGGGTAAACGCAAAGGAAGAAACAAGCAGGAGGCACCTGCCCACGCAGAACCGAGCGCATATGTAGAGGAGGTAAAAACCCCGCTCGACCTGGCCAGGGTGAGTGTGTCTGGTACATGAGGGCAGGCTACATGTGGCTGGGGGCTGAGGGTGCATTGAGCCCAGGACATAGGGAAAAGTAGTATCAAATGTTAACAAAGGATCATAGAGTCATGGACCGGTTTGTGTTGGAAGGGACCTTAAAGCTCATCCAGCTCTAACCCTGCCACGGGCAGGGACCCCTTCCACTAGAGCAGCTTGCTCCAAGGCCCTGTGTCCAGCCTGGCCTTGAACACTGCCAGGGATGGGGCAGCCACAGCTTCTCTGGGCACCCTGTGCCAGCGCCTCAGCACCCTCCCAGGGAAGAGCTTCTGCCTAAGAGCTCATCTCAGTCTCCCCTCTGGCAGGTTAAAGCCATTCCCCTTGGCCTGTCCCTGCAGGCCCTTGTCCCAAGCCCCTCTCTGGGTTTCCTGCAGCCCCTTCAGGCACTGGAGCTGCTCTCAGGTCTCCCCTTCAGGAGCCTTCTCTTGTCCAGGCTGCCCCAGCCCAGCTCTCTCAGCCTGGCTCCAGAGCAGAGCTGCTCCAGCCCTCGCAGCATCTCCATGGCCTCCTCTTGCCTCGCTCCAACAGCTTCACGTCCCTCTTGTGCTGCTGCCCCAGAGCTGGATCAGGGCTGCAGGGGGGGTCTCCCCAGAGCGCAGCAGAGGGGCAGGATCCCCTCCCTGAGCTGCTGCTCACGCTCTGGGGGTGCAGCCCAGCACACGGGGGGGTCTGTGCTCAAGCACACACTGAAGCTGGATCATGGGGAGCTGCTCCTCAGCCAGTACCCCAAGTCCTTCTCCTCAGGGCTGCTCCATCCGGTCTCTCCCAGCCTGTGTTTGTGCTGGGGGTTGCCCTGACCCTGGGGCAGGACCTTGCGCTTAGTCTTGTTGAACTTTATGAGTTCAACATGCTTAAAGTGTTTGTGAAAGTAATTTTTTGTAAGACAAAATAACACCTTTTTTGAACTGGGGTGTAAAAAGGGATAGTAGTGGTCCATTTCCTTGTAGTTATCTTCTAAGCTAACTAAATTACATATATAAAATCAGGAACACTCTGCAATGTTTGCTGAACACAGTTGCGTTGTCTGGTTTTGTTGTTTCTATTTTTCCATGACAGTAGCATTTTAATCTGGTAGTGGCAGAAATGCCATTGGGCAGAACTGGGGTGCTGGGAATGCTGCATCTGCTTGTCACTAGACCAGTGCTATTGAGAGCAGGCAAAAAGAGTCAGGACAAGAGGCGTCCCAGTGCCACAGTGCAGCACCAGCCTGGAGAAAAGCAACATGAGGCATAGAGCAGTGCTTGCTGGGGTGTGGTGGGGAGCAGGAGTGATCCTCTAGCATGCAGCACACAGAAAACATGAGTTGTTCTGTGGTGAGTGAAAGTAGGTTTTGTGGGAAAGGTTTTCTGATAAACCCTGTTTTCTGTTGTTGAGAGACACTGTAGAGGAGAGGCAAAGAAAAGCTGTGCTTGCACTGCAAGGGAATTTTCAAGTGTGTCACAGATTCAGCAGCTAAAGGCCAGAGAGTGCATTTCTATTGGAGTGCTGCTTGCTGAAATAGATAAGGGACCACAGCTCCTGGTCAGTTGTGGCTGTGGCTGGTGGGCAGTCCATGGCTGAAACCAACCTCATCTAGTGTTATGAGACAGGTTTGTGCCTGGAATGTGTTGTGCTTATTTCTCAAGGCATCTGGTTTTGAGTATTGCCAGAGCAATGGGAGCAGTTGGATTTCTTCTCTTCCCCTGGAATGATTTCTGTGCTGTAATTAATTTCTGCAATTAACTCCTCAAGCATTTGTTCTCAGTGGTACCTGCTGTAGATGTTGGGTGGGAGGAGGAGCTCTTTGTTTCTTCCATCAAGGTGTAAGGTCTGAGGGAGAAAATGGAGAATTCCACTATTTGATGATTAATCCGGCCACTGTCTACAATATCTCGCTTTGTTTCTCATCAGGGTTTCTCTACTAGGGCCTGACCCAAAGCTTGGTCCCTCATCCAAAGCCTGACCCAAGGCACACAGGGCTTTGCTGTATCCTAAATAGCCCTTGAAAGTAAATCAGGGCACAGCTGACCTCCTGCTTGCAGCTCTTCAGTACCTGTGAACTGATCCTGTGGGCTGGAACACTGAACGGCACATGTGCCACCTCAACCCATGCAGTTTTAGCTGTCAGAGGGAGCAAATATCAAGTGAATCAGCAACATCCTTATGTCCTTGCTTTGTTTAGATTCCTTGGACCCTTTCTGGCAGGCTTAAGCTTGTCTTTCCATTGAATCTGGGGTCTGGTCCAAGTTCCATTCCAGTCTCCCCAGCCTGCACCAGGGTCAATGCTTTCCCTTTCTGTCGGTGTTGCCCTGCAAATACAGTTTATTCCTGGTTTGATTCTCAGGCACAGGAGAGCAACAGTGGAGTTGGCAGCATGAGCAGTTCCTCGAAGAAGAAGCCCAAATACGTCAACCTGTACACCAAGGAGGGGCAGGACAAGCTGGCAGTGCTGCTGCCCGGGCGGTACGCCTGTGAGTGCCTGGGCCAGAAGCACAAACTCATCAACAACTGCCTGGATTGTGGGCGCATTGTCTGCGAGCAGGAGGGCTCTGGGCCCTGCTTGTTCTGTGGAGCTCTGGTTAGTAACAAGGAGGGTGTTATTTGCTGTGCTTGAGCTCAGTGTAGTTTGCAGGGCTTTGGAATGCAGTGGGGCTGAATTAGCCTCTAGGATCAAAGTTCCCCAGCCTCTAAAGCTAGACAGAGAAGAACCTCTACAATGTCATTCTGGGGGAGGGAGAACTGCCATGGCTTTGAGTCACTTTATGTTCCTTTTATGATGTCCCCTATCAGAGAGTGGAGAGGTTTCCCTCATACTTTATATCACTTTGGAGCTGCTGGGTTTATGACAGTCACCCATGGCTGTCCCAGGCATCACACCTGTGTCCAAAACACATGGACGGCTTCAGCCTCATCCTAGGCACGGCCCCTGTAGCCTTGTAAGGGGAAGGAGATGCAGCCAGGGCTGGCGTGCTGACTTCCCTCCCAAACTTGTGTAGTGAACATCATTTGGGATATCTGTTACACCCTGTGTTTGGTTGAAAGGGCACCTTTTGGAGAAAGGGGGCAAGGTGATGATAGTAGATTAGGTAAAATTAACTTCAGGAGGGAGGAAAGCATTGGTGGGATGAAGAAAATGCTTTAGATCCAATTCTGTGCTATTTTTAAGGATCTGTTTAATTGGAAGTGGCCAACTAAGAGGGAGGACCTCTGTATTTAGTGTTCTGTGTTTGGTCATCTGCTCGGGAGGTTCTGAGTGCATTTCTCATCCTTCAAGATCACTTAGCAGCATGCCCACCCACAGAACTGAGAAGGACCAAGCTGTACATTTCTCATGGATTGCTTTTAGGAAAGAATGAGCTACTGGGAGTCTCCCTGTGTGAATAACACTGAAGGGAGGGAGGTGTGGACTAGTCTAGTGCTTTAAGCAGCTTACCCATAGCTGTTGTCCCAGGCTCCGAAGCTGGTCAAGAATGTGTCATCCTTCTCAAGGCTTCATTTCCTTTTTCTTTCCTTAGGTGTGCACTAAAGAAGAGCAGGACATCCTTCAGCGGGACTCAAACAAGAGCCAGAAGTTGCTGAAGAAGCTTATGGCAGGTCAGTATCAATTTTATACGTGTAATATAATGAGTCCAATCAGCTGTACATCAGCAGGAGCCCTCCTCTGCCTCCCTGCGCTACACTTGCCTCGATGTTGTGCAGAAATGAGAGTGCTTGTGTCCTGGTGTGGAAATTGTCTAGATCCATTCATCCAATTATAAAGAATTGCTGGCAAAGTCTAAAGGTGATTCTTTCTTGGGAGCTGACACCTGAGTGTTCCTCTGGGATGTGAATTGCCAGGACAGCCGTGAACTTTATTTCCTACAGACTTTACTGAGCCACTTCCCCTCGTTGCTGCGCAGTGTCTGTGGTGGGCATTAAAAAGGAAGGGAAGGTCTGGGAAGTTGGCTCCTTGTATCCTCTCTGCAAGAGCTCGGCAGCGTTTCTGAACTTGGAACAGGGGTGTTAACTGCGAGTGTCAAATGGCAGCATAAAATGTCCTCACGCGGAGGCCCCAGGGCTGCTCATTAGGCATTGCTGAATCAATCACATGAACTGGATCATTGTAGCAGTCCTTGAAAATGAGGATAAGTCTCATGTGGAATGTGTGCTGTGGAAGATGAAGTGCTGCTATCTGATTTGCTGGGTCTAGAGAGGTGGTGGTTAATATCTTCTAATGGTCCTTCTTGTCTTACACTTATCTGGGGAGCTAAAAATAGGGACAAAGCCAAGGAAAGCGAGAGGAAATGATACCCAGTCTCCCAGCGAAGACCTTTGCGTTATGGGGATGCTTGTCTGTGTTTAGCTGAAATATAGCCAAGGTCACAGTGTTCTTGGTTTAGAAAATACACTTTGCTGAAGAACTGGGGAAATATTTACTCTGGGTCTTGGTGTCAGCTTCCCTTTAGAGCTGCTGGGGTGGCAGGAGGTCCTGTAAGTTCTTGAGAGTAAGGGCTGATCGTAATTTGCTCTGTTTATGCCGATGTACTTCAGGATCTTCTTTTCTTACCCATTTTATTGCTCTTCCCCTCTGCCCCTGCCAGGCCTTGCTTTGTGCCTTGTCTCTATAGGTGAAAGCTGAAATGTGATTAGCTGTTTGTCTTGGATCAGCACAACAGGGGAACACAGGCTTTTTTGTTTTGCTGAAAGAAAGGTGTTAGCCTGCAGGATGTCCTCTGTGAAATGGTTTGCTCCATTGTGGCTTTGATGCAAACCTTTTATGGTCTTTATTCTCTTTTGTTTGGTTGTCAGGGTTTGGCCCCTTGCCAGGAATGGTAAGAAAGAGGAGATGGTTGCTGGGAATGGATTTCTCCCTCACTAACAATAGCTGGTCTGAAAACCTGCTGAGGTGCTCTGGGGGAGGATTGCATTTGCAGAGGCACACACAGCAGCAGACAGAGGCTTGATCTGTGCTAACTGGCCATTTGTCAGTGATCTGTCCTCACCAAGAGTCTCTCTGTGGAGGTGACAACACTTAGGAGAGAATTTGGCTTTTAGGAGAGAACTCAGGGTCTGTGGTTGTAGATGGGCAGAATTTAGGTAGGCCAAATTGTTAGGCAAGGGTGAAGGAGAATCAAAGACCAGGACTTTCTCTCTAAACACTACCTGGCCATTATCACTGTAGTGTTTAAATGCTTCTTCCTCTTTGGAGAAAGGACTCTCAGAGAGGCTAGAGGGAAAATTGAGACTTGAACCTGGTTTGCAAAGGTGCTGATCATGGGGCAAAGTCCTTCAAATGGTGTTTGTTTTAGGGAGCCTTACCTCAGCCAGGCCTGCCAAGAGTGGGCTTTAAACAACTGGCTGTTGAGCTGTGATTTGTTATCTATCTTAGGTGCTGAAAATTCGGGGAATTTGAGTGCCATAAGCAAAGACTTACTGCCTCGCCAAGAGGCCAGACTCAAAGCAGGCCTGGAAATGGCTGTGAAACACAAAGACAAGTTGTTGGAGTTTGACAGGACAAGGTAAGATACCAGCTGTGGTGAGATAGCACAAATGCACTGCAGGCTAAGCTGTCTTCGACAGAAACATCAGAGGGTTCCTTCTAAAACCTGGGCTGTAGCTAAAGACACCCTAATGCTGGAGTTTGATGGCACAAGAGTAAACCCCTCAAATAGGTCCTGTTTGGAATTCATAGAATCATAGAATCCCAGGCTGGTTTGGGTTGGAAGGGACCTTAAAGCTCATCCAGTCCAACCCCTGCATGGGCAGGGACACCTTCCACTAGAACAGCTTGCTTCAAGCCCCATCCAGCCTGGCCTTCATCACTGCCAGGGATGGGGCAGCCACAGCTTCTCTGGGCACCCTGTGCCAGCGCCTCAGCACCCTCCCAGGGAAGAGCTTCTGCCTAAGAGCTCATCTCAGTCTCCCGTCGGGCAGGTTAAAGCCATTCCCCTTGGCCTGTCCCTACAGGCCCTTGTCCCAAGCCCCTCTCCAGCTTTCCTGCAGCCCCTTTAGGCACTGGAGCTGCTCTCAGGTCTCCCCTTCAGGAGCCTTCTCTTCTCCAGGCTGAATTCCTGGCTTTATGTCCCTGACAGCTCAGGTCTCGCTCTCTCAAGAACAGAGAAGATCTGGCAGGAGGGCAGGTTTGGGGCAGTCAGTGCTGTGTCACTGTCCCACCATGCCCATCTGCTGCTGCTCTGGTTGTTTCTCACCAGTGTGCGCCGCACCCAGGTCATCGATGATGAATCAGATTACTTTGCCACTGACTCCAACCAGTGGCTCTCCAAGCAGGAGAGGGAAGCTCTCCAGAAGAGGGAGCAGGAGCTGCGGGAGCTGCGGCACGCCTCTCGGCTTGCCAGGAAAATCACCATCGACTTCGCTGGCAGGCAGATCCTGGAGGAGGACAACAGCATGGCGGAGTACCACAGCATGTGAGTGAGAGGTGGCAGCACCACGGTGTGCCTGAGAGCAAGGAGGTGACAGCTGGAGGTGACGGGGTCTGGCTAAATCTGGAGAGCAAGCGTAAGGAAAGCTGAGCAAGCTGATCCCTTGAAGGGTGCCTCTGGTGTGAGGGTGTAGGTTTAGGTTCTTTTCTTCCTTGAGGGTCTTTCTGGTTTGCAGCATATCATCTCTTTCAGTACAGTTCTGCTGAGCCCCTCTGCTAAGCTCCCGTGTGAGAGGCTTGCACAGGGTTTCAGTAGCTGGTGTGTCTGTTAAAGGTTAAGCTGCCCTGGAAAGAGATGTTGCAGAAGGCTAATCCCAACAGAACCAATTCAACTCAAATTCAAAGCAAGCTGAGCTTCTCTGGTAGAGAAGAGTGACTGTTCAAACTGGGAATCAGACTGAGTGAGGAGATTGTATAGTTAGGGGAGATGCTGTGGCTCAGACATGTTCGCGTGGGGAGAAAGGAGACGTTGCCGGGGGGAGTTTTCATGTCTCTTTTTGTGCTTGCAGGTTGGATGAAACCATTGAAGCCATGAATCGTGGCACACTGAGCGAGCCAGCCAGGAGCCCGGAAGCAAAGACAACCTTGGGTCCTGGTGTTCTAGTGAATCCCCGTCTTCTTCAGCCTGCTCCTTTGGTCAGTGTGGGTTGAATGATTTATTCTGGAGTAGCAACTAACTCTGGGAGAGTTGAGCATAAGAACTGTGAATTCTGGCACGGCTGTAGTACCTCTGTCCTCCCCAGTGTCTGAGATCCCTGTTAGCCATCTGAGCTGGGGACAAAGAACATTTGCCAGTGCCCTGCTCTGTTTCCTGCTCTTGGTTTATCCAAGTTTTAATCTCCTGCCTCCTTTTCAGGAATGTGTTTTAACCTCAGTGTAAGGCTGTGTGACTTTTTCAGCATTATTTATATATCTCAGGCTCTCTGAGCCTTCCAAGTGCCTAAAGGGGACCTACAAATAAATCTGCAGAGGGGCTTTTTACAAGGGCAGGTAGGGATAGGACGAGGGGGAATGGCCTTAAAATGACAGAGGGGAGATTTGGATTAGATGGTAGGAAGAAGTTTATTCTTTAAATCCATTGTGCAGCTGTGATGCATAGAAAGGAGAAGCTTCATGGAGCAGAGCATGACCTTGCTTTTTCTACTGCCAAGCATGGCATGGAAACAGAGTGGGTTTGCAGGGAAGTAAGTAAAAGTGATCCCAGTAAGAGTAACACCTCTGTCCTTAAATGATGGAAAACTTCAAATAGGATTTACACTTGATATTTGCTGTTCCTAGAGCGGTGCTAACATCTTTCTTGTTTCTTTTGAACACTGAAGTGGGTGGACCAAACTGGTTTGCTCCCACACAGGAAACCCATCCATTCCATGGACACCGAAAATGAGCCTGACTCCGAGAGAAACAGGTTGCGGATTCAGGATCGAGAGTTGCAGGAGATCTCAGATGATGGCTGGTGCCTCAGCATGCACCAGCCTTGGGCTTCCTTGCTTGTAAGAGGAATTAAAAGGTAAAGGAGTGGCCTGAGCTGTGATATGTCCTGGTCAGCTCTTGCTTTGTAGGTGAGACGACAAGTTGTGTTCCTCAGGGGATAGCTTCTGATGCCTACCGAGAGCTCCCGTTTGGAAGCTGTGCTTCCTCCTCCAGTGTACTCCTGGTTTGGGAAGCTGGTGATGCTGTTTTTCAGGAGAGTAGCTAACCTGGAGGGTACAAGTTTTCTCACCGTGGGTAAATTAGAGGCTGGGATTTCTGCACTGCTGTTGGGATGTACCTTTGTGGACTTGGACAGGCAGAGAGGCTGAAGATGTGACATGTTCTATTGGTCTTTTTGAGCGTTGTAAAGAAGCAAACAGTGGCACTAGGCTTTGTTTGAAAAACACAACCACATGGACACCCCTTGCCACTACTTCCCCCTCCAGAATCAGGTTACAAAGTGAAGCTCCTTCCTCCCAGCATCCCTGGCACGTTAATTCACCTTTCCTGCTATTCGTATGAAACAAAGAATCTTCTCTAGCCTTTTTTTTTTTTCCCCTTCACAGAATTTTTCATTCTAGGGAGCAAAGCTTTTTCACTTCCCAAGCTAAAGACACTGTAAATCTTCCTGTGCCTGGCTTTGCATCCCGGTGGTATATGGATGCTGTTGGCTGCCCCAGTACAGCTGCAGGGCCTGGTGCCTGTTCTGGGAGCCCAGGAGCTGCAGCTAACAACTGCTTTGTACGTGTTCTTACCATGCAGAACTGTTTGAGCTTGTCAGGGTATTGCATGAGCAGATTGCCCCATGGATGTATCTGGAATACTGCTGTGCTTGCAGGGGATTGATGTCCTTTGCTGTTGGTCTGAAGCCATAAGGACATGCTCTGCTTGTGGCATTATTTGTTGCCCATCTCAGCTTTTCGCTGACACGTTGCTTTGTGTTGAAATAGTCAGGGCAAAGCTTAGCAGCAGGGATTGCATTAGTGAAACAGCTGATTGAAAAACCTGTCCATGTGGGTGATTTCTGCTGAAATTTAAGTCCTAAATTCTGCTTTGTCCTCTAGGGTGGAGGGCAGGACCTGGTACACCTCTCATAGGGGGCGGTTGTGGATTGCAGCTACTGCTAAAAGACCTTCCCCTCAGGAAGTCTCTGAACTGGAGACCACCTACAGGATGCTGCTCCGGAAAGGTGAACTTTTCTCCTTGGATCTTTGTATTATTGGTACATTGAGCCACGTAATGAGCAGTGTCAGAAAGGCCTCTGCTGAGCAGTTATTGCTGCTTTGCTTTTTAACCTTCTGTTCTTGAAATTCTCTTCATCCTTTCTGCATGTCATCAGCCACATGGGTCTGGTGGCAGCATTTAACTTCGTCCTGCTGCTGATCACATACTCAAACCACAAGCACTGTTGAATGGCACCTGACTTCTGCAGCAGCAGCAGACTTCGTTTTATTCTTGGCTCAAGCAAGAAGCAGTCAAGCACGTGCTTGGTGCGTGTGCAGTGGCTTGTACTTCAGTCTGTTTGTAGTGATGTTAAAGGCTTTTCATGGATTCTGACCTTGTGGAAATCAGGATTGAAAAGCTGCAGGTCCTCAGGAAGATGTTCTCTCATGTGGGCAGGAGGGTGCTGGTGGCTGCACTCTGTGTCTGTTTGTGCAGTATTTCTGTGCGTCACCCAGTTTAAATGTCATGCAGCAGGATTGCCTGCCCCCTCATCAGAGCGAGGAGCTCTTCCCACACTCTGTGTTCCTCCGTCAGAAGCTAAGCAGGGAAAGGTGTTTATATAATGAAATCTCCCGAACTTAGTCCTGTCATGGTGAAGATCCTGAACTGGATAAGGAATGATGGGGTGCTAAAATGGCTGTATGTCTCCTTGTGCCTCAAAAGGTAGAAATGTGTGGAGGAGAGGGAAGGGCGCCTGGGGTTAGCAGACCCCAGCTATGTGTGTGGTGATGTGGAATCCCTGAAGAGATGTTTCTATTGCTGCAGATGTGGAATTTCCAGGCGATTATCCCTCCGGATGCCTCCTGGGCTGTGTGGACGTGACTGATTGCTTATCGCAAGAGCAATTTAGTGAGCAGGTGAGTACAGCAAACAAACCTTTGCAAGCTTGCATTAGCCAGCAGCTTTAAACAGTGTAACTCACCTCCATGAGATGCTCTGCAAAAGGCAGTGAATGGAGATTTTAGACTTGTGTTGAGAGAAGACACAACCACTGTGGTCTTGTATGCCTGCAAAGAAAACGGACTGAGAAAATGCATTTCAGCAGTGGTGGAAGCATGCAGTGGGCTAATACAGCCTAAATCCATCATCAGCCTCTCTGGTGGTGAGATAGTTTGGTTGAAACTAGTTCCTCACATACTCTGAAACCCTTTTCAGTAAGGACTTGTGCCTGTTTAATTGAACCAATGCTGCAAGGGATTGGGGCAGCCGTTACTCCCCTTGCTGCACAGATGGATGCTCACCAGATGCTGTGGCAGTGCTTGACTGAGGAAGACAAGGCCCTGCAAGGCATTAACGTTGTATTTCTTGTTTTCATCCTCCTTTGGCAAACTCAAGAGCTTACCTGTTACCTGAATGTGGCTTCCAAAGCAGGATCAAGTACCCTGGTATGAGGGAGGGTGCTTGGCCCATCTAGATCTGTAGCTGCTGGAGCTGCCCAGTGCTTCTTCCTGGAGCTGGAGGTCACAGTGGCCTCACTGGTGAGAGCTGTGTTCTGGTCAGAGCAGAGTCAGCAGGAGTAGGAGCTGTGGGAGGAGGTGAGCACCCTCCCACCAGGGAGGATGAACAGGAGAGCAGCCGGGGCTTCATGGAGGCCCTGCAGAGGAGACATCAGAGCCCCTAGATACAGGGAGGGAGGGAGGGACAGCTGCAGATTACTGAGGAGATCAGGACTCCTCAAGGGACATTTAAGTGGCCTCTTTCTGAATGAGGCAGGAGGTTTGGTGACCGGGGACAGGTGTTGAGGCCTTCTTCACCTTAGGCTTCAATAGCAAGGTCTTCCAGAGATCTCATGCCTGGAGGCAGAGTTCAAGGAGGAGAGGGACCACCTGTAGCGAAGGGAGGTAGAACTGGGAGTCTTTTGAGAAATCTCAACCAATGGAAGCCCGTAAGTGCTGATGGTGTGCATCCAGATACACTGAGAGTGTGGCAGTGTGTTTGTGAGGCCACTCTTACCTTGGAAGGGTTGCAGAGATCAGAAGAGGACCCTGGTAACTGTAGAAAGGTGGCTATTACATCCATCTTTGAAAAGGGAAGGAAGGATGGTCCTGGACACTTCAGGACAGGAAATTCATAGAGCAGCTCTTTTTGGAGGCCAATTTTGGCACACAGAGGAGGGCATTGGGAGTAGCTGGTGTGGATTTACCTGGGAGTAACACCAAGCACAACATAGCTGTTCTTGGTGCTGCTTCCTACCTCTCCACCTCACTGCCCCTGTACAGACAGGTTTGGTGTGATGGGAATGACCAGACCATGCAGGGCTTGAGAGTGAACTGAGACCATCTTGTGAGGAATCCCCCAGGCTGATGGGCATCTTCTTGCCAAGAAGGGTTGGAGAGGCACCAGCACCTGGGGCTCCTTCTCATGAAGTGCTCTCCTGGCTTTCCCAAGCCCTGTGAGGTTTTGTAGCAGGGGTAGATGCGTGGAAACTAGAGATGAAAAGAGTGTTTCTGACAAGGTGGTGTCTGTTCAGTCTAAGGTGGAAGGGGGAGAGGTTGGAGTATGAGCAGCAGAGGGAGCTTTGGGACTGGAGTACAATGAAATCTAGTGGAGTATTTGGCCTTGTATGGAGCAGGCCTTTAAAGAGAGGAGAGGACCCTAGGGGTTTTCTTCTGTAGCATCCACTCATTTGCCATTTGGTCTTCAATGGAGATTCTCCTGCTTCTGCTGTCTGTAACAGTGGTGGAAAAGTACACCTTGGTCTCTCTTTTCTGTCTGTAACAATTCCTCCTCTTTGTGGATACATTCTCCAGGCACTGATAAAATGGCTGTGACAGCTTCTTCCAATCTGGAAATTGCGCTGTAGGCGACCAGCTTTTGATCCTCCCATGGAGGACCCTCACAAGGAGCTGTGTTCTCTGCAAATGCCTCCCAGTCTGCTGGCACTGCCTGGCCACAGAGGCACGGGAGGAAGAGCAATGTCTTCCAGGAGCACTATTACTACACCTGTTGGCGAGAGATTTACTTCTTCTCAGTATCGTGGCAATTCCTGTTTTATATTTCACTGGCTTTTTGCTTCTCCCATATTGCAAACTATTTGTAATTCCTCGTTTTCTGCCTTTTTACAGTGGTTTTGTCCATTTTCCCCCAAGGATTGCTTTATGTAGTGTTCATTTCCCTAGCTGGTAAGATTGAACTCTGAGAACTGAGCCTCTTTCTGAAGTTGGTTTATGAGGAAATGGGTGTTTTTATGGACTATCATCATCAGCAAGTGCATCTGAATGAAGCTGAGATTCATTTAACTGCAGTGCTAGCAAGGTGAAAAAGCATTGCAGTGCCAGCTCAGAAATGTGAGTTGGATTGCACTGGGAGTAGGAAATCCCAGTTGCTCACACTGGTGATTCAGCCCAGGTTCATCAGCAACCAGCACCAAAACCACTTGTCAGCAGTGTAATCCAGTGTTTCTTGGGGTACAAGCACAACTCCTAGCTCAGGGAAAGTGGGAGAGGAAGATGACATGGTTTTGCATACAAATACTGCTCTCTTCAGTCACTGTGCTTTGCCTCACGCTTCTCTTCACAAGCTCGTATCTGAAACTTGTTCCAGAAGAAATCCTTCCGCAAGTGCAGGACAAGCCTGCACGTCTGCAGATTATTCCTGCCACCCGCAGATGAAACACTTCCCTGTCTTGCTCACTGTCCTGTGGTGGTGCAGCTGCCATAGAAGTCTGTTGTGACTTGTGGCCATTTGTTTCCATAGGCAAGGGAGACTCTTCCTGCTTTGTCCCTCCCATGACTTCTCTGTTATTTCAGTCCTTATGATGCTGTCACCCGCTCCCTGCTCAGCATTATCTGCAGATCTCATTTCCGTGCTGTTTGCATCCTCTCTCAGGTTGCTAATGAAGATGTTAGTGGCACCCTGCTGGTATTTTTCTATCATTATCCTCATTTACTCTATCTTTTTGTTTAACACTTGCGCTCAAAGAAGCAAACTGAAGCAACGGTGCTCCGTTTTGCCAGATGCAGCAGGCTCAGGCTGAGTCCCTACCGACAGCTTGTGTTGTTATCAGGGACTCATTATTTATCCCTGGTATTACTGGACATGTAAGCTTGGCCCTGCGTAACCCTTTGGGAGGGATCTTGCAGCTCTGCCCCATGTGCAGTGCTTGAAGACCGGCAGACATTGTTGAAGTGCTTTGCAAATCTTCAGGGCCATGTGAGAAGTGATGACAGAACAGAATCATGTATGTGGTAGCTGGCAGCGATCAGAGGAAGAGCAGAGAAGAGATGTCCTTGTCATTAAAGTCAGCGTCACAACAGATGCCATTGCCCTAATCCCAGTTGTGCTACTTATTGCATGAGCTAGTTAAATCTGTTCCTCTGGGGCTCTTTCCTACATGGAAAATAAAGCCCGTCAGAGGTTATTTACACCTAATTTTACTGCTAAAAGCTGTGATCTTCGGATTGAAGCTGCTTTAGGAGCAGAAGACACTGTCAGATAGGAAAGTCCACCCCAGGTATCAAGTGTCACCTGCTTTGCTTGCAGGGGACTGAAGCAAAAGCCACTTTCTGACGGCAGCCCCGCTGCCGCAGGCGGGGGTTGGCTGGTGCCAGGAGATCCCTCCATGTGGCTCTTAAATCTCAGTATTTCCAGTTGAGCTTTGCACATCTTGCACCTCCTCGGAGCGCCTTCTGGGCTCGCTTCCTTCTCTTCATGGCAGCCACCCAAAAAGCGGTGCTGGAGACCAGAATGATCCCTTTGTTTTGCTTCTCGGTGCTAAAGGTGACCTGGAATCTTTGGGTTTATTTCCCCCCCGCTGAGATCTGAGCACTGACGACGGCTTTTCCTTGCTCCGGGCCTGACATCACCAACACCTCGAGCCGAGCAAGGAGCTGCCTTTCTTTTCCTGCATGAGGTGTTGGTGACTTCAGCAGCGCTCGCTGGGGAAACACGGGATGGCGCAGGCAGGGCTTGGCAGGAGGCTAAACCAAGCAGGGAAGTATTTACATTTATGCCCTTTTAATGTGCTCTGAAGTCCATGTTCGTTTTGCTGATGACTTTGATCTGAGTGACTATTACTTTAACTGGAAAAAGAACATTTCCGCTGCTGCTATTTTGGTAGCTGATAGGTGTGTTTGGACTTATTTTGAACGCGAGCACACACACATGCCAATATGTAGTTGTAGCCATTATCTGGGGCTGAAATATTGGGTAATTGTGTTTTACAGGAGTAAAGTGTTTAGTTTTCATTTCTAGGTGCTTGCTTAGTGTCCTAAATCTGCACAAGGGAACACATCTAAGCTATTTTTGTGCCATGAGATTGCAACTATCATTTAAACAGCTATCATCTTTCCCTCTCAGGAAATTTGTGTTTCATCTCTTGCCCTCCTCTTCCCTCCCCAGTGAAAATAACAGTAAGATAAAAAGAGACTCAGGTGCCAGGCATGGAGAACTCGTTTCGAATTCTCAAGCAGGAGTGAAGCAGGGTAGAATTTTTCTATGTTTACACTCCAGAAGGTGCCTGTTTAGATTCTCTCCAAATAAAGGAACAATAGCCCACTGGTCATATTTTCCTAAGGAAGAAGTTAATGAGAGGGAGAAACACAAACATGTAGATTGACGTGGACTTCGAAGAACAGTATAAATACATAGACACTTTTTATGAGGACCTTCTCCCTGAAGTAAATGTTTCCTAGTATAGGCTGTAAGTGAGACAAACGTGTTTGTGTGCTGCTGTGGCTGCCCTAGCACCTTCCTTGCCCTCCCCCAATGGGATATTTGCCTTTTCATTCCTAAGGCTTAGTTATTGCACCTCAACTGAGGATTTTAAAGGCTAGATCAGATATACTTCCTTCTGCAGCAGTCTAGGTGGTTGTTAATGATTGAAATCAATGAAAGGCCTTTGAACTTTACAGGTCCC